AAATGGAGTGGGGTATGAAATGAGAGGGTTAATTTTTTTCCCTTGAAAAATGAGAGGGTTAAATTAAGTATTAAGAAAATAATTGTTATAAAACATAGATTTTTCAAATCTTTATTAGATGAATATTAGTTATAGGGATATCTATATATTTTAGGAGTGAAAATAGGGAAAAAGAGATAAATATTTTTTAAAATGCATGAGTCTTAGATTTTCACCCCTTACACTTGATTAATACCTTTTAATTAAAAAAGTATATCAGTCAAAAGAGTATTTATCAAGATTAAAGAGTAAAAATCTTAAAACAATGGGAAAAGGAGAAAAATACCTCTTAAAAGTGAATGGATCATGTTTTTTACCTTTTAATCTTAATTAATAACCTTTTTAGTTACATAACTAATACTACTAAAAAAGCTAACTCATACACTTTTTAAGAGTAAATTCTTAATTTTCTCTAAAAAAACAATTCATTCAGGTGAATTCACCAATTTTCTCGTGAAAAGAAAATATAGCCCTTGTTGTTAGAAGAAAGGAGACAAATACTCTTTAAAAAAGCATGGGTCAGGATTTTTATCTTTTACTCTTAATTAATAGCTTTTTTAGTCAAATTACTATATTAATAAAATGATAAATAATCAAGAATAAAAGGTAAAAATCCATATTCTTAGACTCTTAAAAATAAATTCTACCATTTTCTCTTATTTTTTTAGAAATAATAAAAATAAAAAATAAAAATTTATATTCATGTGCTCTTAAAAATATTTTTTTTGTTGTTATGAAGACAACCATATTATTCGGCTTGGCCCAAAGATTGCCCATTCCGCTTGTGATCTTGAAAGAAGAGAGATGAGTGGTTTGTATTATTGGCCTAGTCGGAACTATAAGGCGTGTTTGTTTTCGTTTTTAAAAATATTTTTCACGTTTTTTGAGGAATAAAAATAAAAAATATTTTCAAAAACACATTTGGAGACCATTTTCTAAAAAACAAAATTGAAAACACCCGTTTTCATTTTTGAGTTTTTCTTAGGTTTTTTGAAATGAATTTTTATCGTTTTCATTTTCTTTGTTTTCGCTTCTTTCTCTCCGAAACTGAGAATTCGTTTTAATCACTGAAAGCGACAGTTGTTGCATGGGACTTGCTGCAAAAGCACGTAGTACTACATGTCTGAATTTTAAGCGGCAAAGAAATAATAAAAAGATAGATAAATCATAACTTAATGCTATATTTTATTTTTATTGATGAATATTAATTAATTGGAAAGCTGCTCCCAAAGTATATTCAATGAATGTAATACTTTATTAATGTAAGTATTCACTAAGTAATCTTATTGTATTTATTTATTATATATTTGTAATGTACTTTGACTAAAAATACATGCTTTTAAAAATGTAATACCAAACAGAGTTTTAATTTTTTCTTATATTAAAAATAATCTTTGAATAAAATTACTAAATATATTTTAAAAAATGATTCATCATTGATAATAAAAACGTTTTCATTTTCATTTTCATACAAAAAATAAAATTATTTTAAAATAAATTTTAAACACACCTATAATTTAAGGCCCTTTTATGCTTGAATTGTATGCAGGGAAAATGAAAGGCCTGTTTGATACGTAGTGTGTCCATTGAACATGATTTTGAAATCGTGCCGACATAGAAAGGAGCAGAAAAACTGTTTTTATATTTTGCTAAGAAAATAGGAAAATACTCAAGTCATTTTCCCTTATCCGTTTTCGTTTTTTAGGGTTAAATTCTCGATAGTATTTAAAAAAAACATAATTAAATACAAAAACATTTTTTCTTATACACAAAACAATCTTTGTAGAAAAACAGTTGAACATTTTCATAAATGATTTCAACTGTATTCTTGAAAATTTTGCATTGACCAGTGAGCAAGGGGAAAAAATTCACAACTACACATATTTATATTTATAATAAAAAAGGTCAAGAAGCATATTTAACACTAGCTTAGGGGGCAAATGAGTACTACAAATTAGAACCTATCTAGAATGAAAGTACTAAATAATTAAGGGCCCGTTTAGTTCGCTGATTCGAGTTGAGATGTGATTTTATGTAAGAGCTTTTTACTGTAACAAAAAAGTTAGATATGACTGTTTCTGAGAGTTTTTTACTGTAACAAAACTCGAATTCTAAACTCAAATCGGTGAAATAAACGAGGAGTGTTACTAAACTACACTTAATTAACTAATTGAACAGCGTGCTATTAAACAACAGTCATCTATCCCTTAACATACATTCTTAATCTGATTAGCTATCTAACTTTTGTTTGCTTGTCTGCATAATCCTATTTCTTTCAAAACATTGGATCTTTTCTCCGTCGGTTCACTTCCTTTCGGTGATCTACCATCCATAACCACAGTGACCCATATCCAGCAACAAGAAAATTTGCTAATTTTGGAAAATCATTTGAAACATTTTTTTTTATAATTAAATTTTCCGAAAGATATAATTAACTTGAAAATGTGTCTCATTATCCCATAATTTAAAGGTATATTTCATACAATTACAGGCCAACATGGACGAAGGAAAAATGGAAAAAAGAACGCATAAAAAGACGAGTTTATGGAGTACTTGTAATAATATTAACTAGTTACAGCCGACTAGAAAAATGTTTTTTTTTTTTATTTAAAAAATGGAAGTTATAAAAGGAGCATTGAATGCGCATGCCATTCCAAGTGGAAAGAAACCTGTTACAAATAGAAATGAAAATAAAAGAAAGTGGTGCCATGCTATAATGAAAATTGAAAGTTTAAAAGAAAGTGCAAAAACAGCTAGACAAGCTCAATATACCTAGCTTCTCTTCCCAGAATTCCCGCGGTTTTTCCACTCAACATCTTTTGTTCTTTTGCCTTTTGTTGTTCCGAGACTGCCACTTTATGAAAATGCAAGTATAATATATATTGCATCGGATAAAGAGAAGTATATAAGTGATAATAACCTAGCTAACTTTATAAGAACTGGCCAATAAATGGCATAAAAACTGGTCAAAAAAGTTTCACTTTCTTTTTTTATTTACTAGGGTGCAATTAGAATGTCTCTCTTTAACAACTGTAGCAGCTTACACTCTAAAAAATGTTGTTGGTCTTGGTCCTTGGTAGTCCTTTGATACATGACGTAAATGGAGGTAAGTTAATTAGTACATAGATGAATGGATGAACCACCTCGTAGCTTGATTTTATTGGGTTGATTTACGATCGAATGGATTTGGTAGCTTAAAGAGGTATCAAGTTTGAGTTCTGTAGAAAGCACTTGAGACTGTTTTGCCAGTTCAATTGACGTTCGCCTCTCTTGAATATCGCGTTGAGAGCACGAGAGTTGTAGTTGACTAACTTATCTTCATTAGTTGACCACGAGGTTTCAGGCTTTAGAGACTCCTTCCCTTCAGAATTCTTAGTTACAAGATGAGTCTAGTCATTCAGAACAGCACGTCAGGCCTTCTCATCTAAGGCCTTGATGAAAGTCTTCATTCGGGCCTTCTAATATGAAATGGATTTTTTGAATGAAGGAGGTTCACCGAGCAAACAGTTAGTGAACCGCTTTGGTACCACGTGTTAGATCTGATTTTACGTCGGGTGTCACAAATAGTATTAGTTATCGATCTGCGATACCAATATCTAACGTTCTCTATTTTTTTCAATTTATTTTCCTGCTCGATTAATTAAACATTGCTGAATCTGAAAATTAATTAATCACCCTCACGTATAAAAAACATACATCTAACACTAAGTATATCAATGAATGCAAGGATTAACAATTTTATAAGGCTTATTGATATTCTTGAGTGGTAATTCACAAACGGAAGTTAGTAAGTTGACTCGTTCATTTCACCGATTCGAGTTTTCAGTTCTAGGTTTCTATAGTAAAAAGCTTTCAGAAAATGTCACATCTAACTTTTTTCTGCTACAGTGAAAAACTTTTAGAAAATATCACATCTCAATTCGAATTGAAAACTCAAATTTAGAAAATGAACGAGTTCCTACCACTTCTGTTTTGTGCCAAAACAGTCAAAATGAGGGACCATTAATACACGAGATTTTGGTAAAGAGAAAGTGAAAAGGATTGTTAATGGGACCGGGGACTGATTCATTAAATTTTTTTTTTTTTTTTTTTATTGGGTGAGATGTTGACTGAGCAGAAAAAATCCCAAATTAGTGTCTAGGATTCGCGGGCAATGTGGGCTCCAAAAATACCAGAATAGTTGCCACTATAGTCCATGACATCATAATATATACAAATACATCTCTTTCCGTGTTATTTGTAAAGTTGACCGCTTGGACCACTTGATCATCTATGTGTTTTTTTTTTCTTTTTTTTCCCACCTATATAATGACCTTCTTGGTCACATTCCTTTCCTTTCCATTCTTACTTTAGATTATTTCGCTACTTTACAATATCTTGCTGTCTATTTGGTATTTTTCCCCCTTTTTCTACGGTTTAACTTGATCCTTCTAATCTTAAGCCTAAAAGCAATGACATCATTACATATATAATGTACATTTTCTTATTCATAAATGAGTAGAAATTCAAACTAACTCTAAAATTTAAAATAAAAAATTGTAATCAAATTATCATCCGTTTAGGCTTGTAATGACCATGATGAAAGACGATATGATTTTTTTATTTATTTAAGGGTGGAGATTTCAAACTCTACGAGTAAGATGTACAATTACCATTAGATTATGCTTACCAATATATATATATATATATATATAATCCTAATACACTACAGAATGCAAGCATATAATTTTATTGTATTTTATTTATGTATTGCTTTAACATGTGGACATCCTACTATCTTCAGCAAAAAAATATAAAAATAAGGACAAGTTTATTTTTTTTGGTCTAATATTCTATAGGAAAAGGGATCATAACACCAAAAAAAAAAAAAAAAAAAAAAAAAAAAGAAGCCCGCTTTTGTTGGCTTATGAAAGCTCCCAAGAAGAATCCCACCGACGATATATTATTTCCTCTCCCCTTACCACAACTTAATTCCCTCTCTTTAATACCCTTCAAAACTCATCAAACTTCCACAAATATGTTGATAAAGAAACAATCTAATCGTAAAGACCATTAGTAGCTCCAAGACTACTATTTATTGTATTCACTCAGATAAAATGGGCAACTGCTTATTCGGCGGCTTGGGAGACCCCGATGGAATGATCAAAGTCATCACATCAAACGGCGGCGTTATGGAGTTCTTCGCTCCGATCACGGCCGGAAGCATCACCGGAGAGTTCCCGGGCCACGGCATCTTCCGAAGCCACGATCTCTTCTGGAAGCCTCTGCCTCACCATGAAGACCTCGTCGCTGGACAATCCTACTACCTTCTTCCTATCAACGTCCCCGCCGCCGGCGACGAGCTCGGCCGCCGGGAAGGCCACGTCAGATCGAACAGCATTCCGGCGAACTCCCTGGTGGCCCCGTACCGGATGTCGTTGGACTACCAAGGCATGCTCAAGAGGTCTTACACCGACGTCTTCTCGAGGCCGTACGGCCATGGATCTTTAGGGTTTTGGAAGGTGAAGCTGGTGATAAGCCCTGAGCAGCTCTTGGAGATTTTGTCCCAAGAGGGTCGGACTCAGGAGCTCATCGAGAGCGTTCGGGCCGTTGCGAAGTGCGGGACCGGCGCCGTTTCGACGGCCCTAGGGTTCTCGGATCAGTGGAGTCTTTCGAGTAGTAGCAGGAATGCTTCCTGTAATGTGGATGGGTTGGAGGATATTATTAGTTAGTGGAAATAGTATTTTGGAGATATGAGTTTTTTTTAAGTTTCTTTTTAAGGTTAATGTAAGAAAATAGTACACTTATATGGGTTGCTAATTAATTAGTTTTATGTTTGCAATCATATATGATACTCATGATTGGGTACTTATATTGTTATACATAAGTATTACTGTGATATCTTATGATTATGTGGAGGATGTTTTCTTAGCTCACATGAAAATGTCTCTTAGGTAGTCTTTTTTTTTTTTATAAAAAAAATATTAGATATAAAAGCTTAACAGATAAATCTGAGTAGCAAAAGGTATTGCATCTTCTTAAACTTATAGCTTGTAATCTCTCTCTCTCTCTCTCTCTCTCTCTCTCTCTCTCTCTCTCTCTCTCTCTCTCTCTCTCTCTCTCTCTCTCTCTCTCTCTCTCTCTCTCTCTCTCTCTCTCTCTCGTTTTATAACGGGGCCTTAAACATGAACTTAGAAAACCAATAGGATGTCTACAGGAAGTACTTAAAGATTTAAGTCACAACAATACTGTAGTAATGTTTTGTTTTCAGCTAATAATCTAGTATATATTCTGATGCTTTTTAATTTTCTGGGTATCTATTATATTGTGATGTTAATTTACAACATCAGATCCCACAGTTCATACTGACATTTAAATGATCAAATTATTAGTTATAAACTTTATAAAGTAATTTTTTTTATAGCTTCGAGAGCCTTTTCCAAAACGTTTGTGAGAATTGGGCTTTTGAGGAGGCTTAAACCGTACTATATGAGTTTCTTTTCTTTTCTCTCTTTTCATTATGGTCCGAATCAGGAGGTGGGCTAAGTTTTCATTATCATTTCTACATATATATTTTTTTGGAGAAAAAAATCAGAAATACCACTTAACATAGTTAAAAATATATATTATTTATATCACAACTAAAAAAAAAATAAATATTATTCAATTAATAAAAATAAAACAAAAAAATAATATATAGTTAATGACACCCAATTATTTCAAGTATCGTAAATAATATACTTCCACAAAATCATTGATAAATCATGTACTTTTCTCTTTTCTTTAGGTATGTTAAAAAAATCTGAATAGGTTGGAATTGCATGATTGCAGTTTGAAAGTTATTGGGCAGTCTCAGCGTCTTTTTTAAGAAATTTTTGAAAATTGTAACCCATAAATTCCCTATAAGCTTAGACTGCATGGGCGACTTTTTTGCTGGGCAGATTTTTCAATTTTTTGGGCGGTTTTGGTTTTGTACCTATTTTTCTTAATACGCAATGACTAAACTTTTAGGTTAACTTTCTTTCATAAAAAGAAAAAAAAAAAAAGTTTCAAAGTACTTGATACAAACACTAAGCATTAAACATTAGCATAGATAAAATAGTTCAAAAGTAAGCATATTATCACCATAAATTGAAATTACAATCCCACAACATCACAATCCAACATCCAATGACATCTGAAAATTTCAATGCCATTCGAAGATGATTCAAGGTCCAAAAACATCCAAGAGTCCAATAGCAGTCCAATGAAATTTTCCAAAAGACCAATAACATCACCACAATTCAAAGCCCAAAACTAGACTTGTATGGTGGTTGCACTAAGATTACAACGAAGGTGGGAACCATAGAATTACATGTGCTCTCTGTAAAGAAAAAAAAAAATCGTCAATTTTTAGTTTTTATTGTAATTTATTATACAACGATGCAGAAACAGGAGATGAAACATATTGATGAGTTTTTTTTTTTTTTCCCTTTTCCGTAAACTTCGTTTTCTTTTCACTTTTTCTTGTCTTCCGCCAATCAATATAAATGAAACGCCAGTAAAATACTATTCTTGGGTATTTTGCTTCTTTCCCTTTCCATTTGCGCTCTCCTAGCCTTAGGCTAGCTAAAAATACTAGTCTCCCTGGCAGTGACGTCGCTAGCATAAAGTCTCCATATCAAATCGTCTTCTCCTTCAAATAGGAACCACATTATCAATAATTTAGGAGACGTTTGGTTCATGAATTAAAATTATGAGATTAAAATTATTTTTAATTTACGTGTATTTTTTTATGAGAGAAAACATTATAACGAATCATGAATTATGATTCAAATCGGGGTACGAATCTTCCAATCAAACAACCCCTTAATAGGTTAATAAATTTACTTTGAATGTCACTTCAGTTTCTGACCTTCTCAGAATTAGTTTTAAGGTTTTATTTAGTTTTAGTTGTGATTTTTCCGTTGGATGGGTGTTAAACTTTTGATGGAATATGTAAAAATTAGAGTCCAAATTTGAAAAAAGTTAAGTTTAGAGACCAAAATAATACAAAAAATAAAAGTCACTTTCCACATATAGTCATAAATTTTAGTTGTTTTCAATTTTGGTCCTTAATTTATTCAAATTTTGTCAAATATTTAACATCTAGTTAATAAAAGGACCAAAACTGTAACAAAATAAAACCTCATAGATTGTCGTTTTAAAAGTCATAGCCAAAATGGGATTGAGGTAAACCTCAAAAAACATTTGTGCCATTAATCCTAATTTAATATATATTCTCACTATGTCGCCACTTGAGGTTATCTAAATGATTGGATTCGTCAGTGTATGCATGTGTTTATCAGGTTTAAATTTTAGCAGTTTCTTTTCTTGTTAATAAAATGATAGTCACAGATCCTACACTGTATATATATATAAAAAAAAAAAAAAAAAAAAAAACTCAAATTTACCAAAAACTCAAGTCGAAACCTATGGCTATCATTCAATATCCACTAAATATTTGTTAAAAAAGAAAAAATAGCGAAAACACCCCTTGAGTTTTGTCTACATCCCCTTTTACACCATTTATTGTATAAACACTCAAAACATTCTTTGTATTAATCAGACTCAAAATATCCCCAATAAAAGTAAAGTTTTAAAAATACCAAGATTAGCCTTCTCAATCTATTAAATGTTATTTTAGATGTGAATAATTTAGTTAAAAAAATTTAAAAATGTTCAAAGAAATATTCTAATCAAACAAATATTTCAATTATTTTGAGAGTTTTTCACTTTTTAACATTGTTTTTATTTAATATTTTGATTTAATAATGTTTTAAATTGTATTTAATAAAGATTGGAAAGAGTAATTTTTGTACTATACAGATTTAATTACTTGAGGGGTATTTTGAGTCTGGTTCTATAAATAATATATAGAGTGTTTTGGGCATCGGCATAATAAGAAGGGTAGAAGTGGTATTTAAGCAAAATAAATGGGGCATTTTGGATATTATTTAAATAAAAAAAAAAGAAGCCCAAATCGACACCTGATGATTTGGAGATTAAATGAAAAATCCAATTACCGGAACGTCATAAATTAAAGATCGTTATAATTGTCAGACCAAATTAAGCCTTGGCCATTGGGGCAAGCTTTGATATAGATAAATATTATATTTTTAATTCTTTCTTGCATAAGATTTTGTGTTGGTTGGTGGAATGACCTAATTGGTACTCAAAGCGTAATATTTCAACATTTGCAGCGGATCTTCTGCTGCGACTAAACCGGTAGCTGCAAAATATCGAGTTTATTAATTAATATCAATTATATTTAATATTATGAGACGTTTAGTTTATGGATTAGAATCATGAGATTAGAATTATTTTTTATTTACGTGTATTTTTTGTGAGAGAAAACATGGTAGCGAACTATAAACCATGATTCGAATCAGGGTACGAATCCCCTTACCAAACGTCACCTAAAATGATTCGCATCCACTAAATATTCCTTAAAAAAGAAAAAAAAATAGCGAAAACACCCCTTGAGTTTTGTCTACATCTCCCTTTTACACCATTTATTGTATAAATACTCAAAAAATCGTTTGTATTAATCAAACTCAAAATATCCCCAATAAAAGTAAAGTTTTAAAAATTATCAAGATTAGCCTTCTCAATCTATTAAATGTTATTTTAGATATGAATAATTTAGTTAAAAAAATTTAAAAATGTTCAAAGAAATATTCTAATTAAATAAATACTTCAATTATTTTGAGAGTTTTTCACTTTTTAACATTGTTTTTATTTAATATTTTGGTTTAATAATGTTTTAAATTGTATTTAATAAAGATTAGATAGAGTAACTTTTGTACTATAAAAATTTAATTACTTGAGGAGTATTCTGAGTCTGGTTCTATAAACATGTTTTGGGCATCTGCATAATAAGAAAGATAAAAGTGGTATTTAAGCAAAATAAAGGAGGTGTTTTGGATATTATTTAAATAAATAAAAAAGGCCCAAATCGACACCTGATGATCTGGAGATTAAATGAAAAAATCCAATTACCGGAACGTCATAAATTAAAGATCGTTATAATTGTCTGACCAAATTAAGCCTTGGCCATTGGGGCAGGCCTTGATATAGATAAATATTATATTTTTAATTCTTTCTTGCATAAGATTTTGTGTGTTGGTTGGTGGAATGACCAAATTGGTACTCAAAGCCTAATATTTCAACATTTGCAGCGGGTCTTCTGCTACGACTAAACCGGTAGCTGCAAAATATCGAGTTTATTAATTAATATCATCAATTATATCCAATATTAATGATTCGCATCTAGCAAAATTAGGTAGTCTGCGGTCACGTTTTTAACGAAAGATAAAAAATAAATATTGCATATGCTCAGTCCTTGTTTGGTCACGAGGAAAAGCGGGATATTCAATATTTGTATCAATTTAACTTTGAATTAATGAAACTTGCATTTTAAGCTAACTCTGCTTATATGATCTTTTAATTTTTTTGTTTTGTTTGACATTATTTATCCGAGTACTGTTTTATAGTTATATCTTGCATCTAAATTTTCTACGAGAAGTTTCGTAAATTGATTATCTAGAGAGTATATGTAAGCTGTTCCTGTTATTGGACGGATCATATAGTTTTGAAACACATAAGGTTAAATTTACAAAGGAAATCAATGATAGAATTATGACGGAATCCTTATATATGTATCACATGTGATCATATTGTCATGTAATTTTTTTTTTAAATAAAAAGTTAATATCAGAGTTTGCTAACACTTCTCAACTTGGTTAGTATCTACTAACTAATCCCATATACTACAATAAAAAAGCTTATTTGCGACGACAGAATGCCATCGCGAATAACTATATTGTCATCAGA